ATATATATATATATTAACAAATATGAACTCAAAATTTGTAACTTGGAGCACAAGTGCAATTGCTTTGTTATATAAAATCTCGTAGTAACGATAGAAACTAAATCTCTAACCTGCCATGTACTATAATTTCTAGCATACCTAGTATTTTTCTTACAAATAAAATTGAAATCTAATTATATTTATTGTTATAAGTTCTGCACTAAGAAGTCCGAAACCAAAATAGTTTGTAATAGTAGGATGTCATTTTGATGATATACCATAAAATAAAATTTGAATTGTTATAATTAAAAGGGACAAATATGGGTCATTTATATGATTAATGTCACGATTAAGCACACAAGTAGGAATTTTGTGGCTTCTCTTTCTAAAGTCTTGATAAAGTCACATTTTTGCAATAAGAATGTCTAATAAAGATAACTCAGAAGCATTTATTCAATGAATAAAAATTAGTTGTTAAAATGCAATGATCTAATCATTTAAATATCTCACCAAAACATCCTAAATTATATGATATGAAATTTTTGGGTAGAATTGGATTGCTTTATATTTAACGAAAGGATTGTCATAATTAAAAAAAGAAATAGACACATGATTTCAATATACAAATTTTTGAAATTTTCTTTTATAAAAAGGTGACAATACGAACACCTTAAAAAAAATTCTATGTTTTATTCTTTTATATTAGTGTCTCTATAACCTGGGATAACCTAACCTTGTAGAATAAAACAATATCCAAAATAAATGAGGAAGAAATTAGAACATACCTTACTATTGAATGGTGCATATTGTTTGTTTGACATGTAACAGGTTTTGTCATTTTGCGTGGAAGATAAAACATTATTTTGAGTGGCAGAAAGTTTGGAAGACATTGATCACATATGTTGTGTCTGTTTTTGTGATGTTTAAGGAAGTTTTGATTTGTTGAGATGGATGAGTTAGTGATGTTGGGTTTTGATGAAACAGCATGCAGGAGACAATTGAACGCTACCGCAGGCATAACAGGAGTGCTCAAACAGTGAACAGATCTGATGAGAAGAATATGCAGGTATTATTTCGAATTTTGTTTTAGCTTTTTCTTCTTCCTTTTAGTTGTTGTTTTATTATATGCTTCTAGAATATGACTATAAACAATACAAACACTATATTGTACTACTACTTTACGTTCTCATTAGGTAAAACAAAAAGTTATAGTTTCAGGGAAAATTAAAATGAATTTGAATTCGATTTATTTTAAATTTGTTTCATTTTTTTCAAATATTTTGTTACATTAAACAATTGATTAAAAAATATAAGACAAAAACTTTCGATTATCACCAAATACAAAAATATTAAATGTAAAAGTCATCATCAAATTATAATACTGACAAAGTTAATAAAAATATTCAACTAGAATCCAAAAAAATAACTACTATAAAATTTAATAAAGAAAAATATCTGGTCGATATCTACTGAAAAATAGTCTCATTAATAATGGTGGAGAAAATCTTATCGAAGATTATATGTGAAATCATTTCTATTAATGTTGACTAAAAGATTTTGACTTACTTTATTTGATGATAGTTTCAATAAAATGCATAAAAAAATCCTGCTAACATAGACTAAAAAATAACTCTTCAACATCGAGTAAGAAGTAATTGATGTTAATTGAAAAATAATCACAATTAACATCAAATGAAAATAGTTTCAATTGACACAATGACTTTTGACACAATTGTTTTTAACAATTGACATTAGAGGAAACTCTAATGTAGGATTCACACATATCAAATTGACATTGTAATTAAAAACAGTGTAAGAACGTTAGTTATTTGAGAGTCTCACGTCCATTAATGACGATTATCATAACACATTAATGTCTAATTAATGCTATTTCAAACTAAAATTTGGTAGCATTTGATATCTGTCTTGTCTTTAAATTTATGATGAGCATAGATTTTCTATCAAAACTAAAAGATACCAAAATTAAAACTATAAAGACAAAACTAAAACTTTCATAATCAAAATTTTGTCCTAGGATGCTATAGTGGGTCCTCTTGACATTCCAGTACATACATTATCCACTCCTATCTTATTTTCTTAGTAGTATCATCCATTGTAGTTGATGGATTCTTGAATATTAGGTATATATATATATATATATATATATATATATTATCTATGTTCAATCATCTCTAATTGCAGCTCAAATGATTGTTTTTATCCACGACATGACGTAATAGCCACGTCCTCATGAATGTTTTTACATGTTACACTAAACATGACAAGAAAAATAATCACATCAAAATCATAAGTTGACATACGAAAATTAATAACTTTAAGATGAACAAGTTTAAACCTTTTTGATATAATACTTGAATTTATTGTGCTTTGGGCTTACTCACAACTCTAACTAAATTGGAAACATTATTAGAAACATAATTTAATAATAATATAACTAAGTGGATGATTTGAAAAAAAGTACAAAATATATTGCAAGACAACAAATTGTACCCACACACGCATTATGTCCAAATCCTAATGTATTTGATTAAGACAATGAACACAAAGACAAAAGTATGTCCCGTTCACAAAGATTGCATGTTCTTGATAATATTGTAAGAACTCAGAATCTCCACTTTCATACTCTTCATTGAAGTCACGTTCATTCATCTAGCTTTGTTCCATACTATGTTCATAACAAACTCCACCAATCTCAAATTTTTAACTTTCACAAGTTAGGGCCCTACCCATTCGGAAAAAATATTTTTCATAATTTTCTAACTCTTATAAGAAGTCTAATATCATAAATTTGATAAAATTTTAGCAACATTTTGCATTGGGCTCCGATGTACACGAAATGAAAGTGATGACTCATAACCACAATCAAGTATGTATCCAGAGAACAATACAAAATGGTCTCAACTGAAATATTATCAAATTTATGCATAAATTTCAATGTACACGTTATAGCGATTATGAAAAATAATTTTTTCAAACTATTTGATCAGACAATTCAAAATTTAATACAAACAACTGAAAGTTTAATCATTTGTACTAAATTTCAAATGAGAACTAAGATTCACTCAATGTTTAATTAAAATAAACTTAATTTATAAATTCTTCCAACAAATCTAATAAATCTAAATTATATAAACCATCAAAATCTAATAAATTTATAATTAATTAGCTAACTAATAAAAACTAACAATTAAATTTAATAATCAACACTAAATAGATCATAATATAAATTAAAATGCACGTACTAAAATAAAACTAATAAAATTAAATATTCATATTAAAACTACGATAAAACTAATACAAAAACTAAATAACTAAATATTTAATACTAAACATTCTAACAAAAAAATTTGGTTAAAAAAACTCCTTCAATTTTTTTTCTTCTCAAATCACTTAAACAATTTGGCCAAGATAAATCAAATCATGGGAACCAAAATGAAATGCAAGCCACAAACCAAACTAACCTTGTATCCAAGCCTTGATCCACAATGATGGAGGATGTGTTCTCAAAATCGTCGTTGAGTAGTGGAGGAGGAGGAGTCACAGACAATGGAAAATGGATAACTCGCCACCACTCGAAGTGGTTCAAAACGCTCACCTCACACAAAATAATCGATACGAACAAAAATCACAACCAAGACAATGTAGGAACATGAATTTGAGTAAAATGAAGCAAAATACAACTATGGTCGTCGTCTCATATGTTGGTTTGCTTGGGAAGAGAAAGTGTGAAGAAATAGTGTAAAGAAATGAACTTCACGCTAGGGTTTTTAATATTTTAAAACCATTTGATGTGGGATAAGTGGAGGATTGACATCTTTGGACATCAGATACAAGGGGGCGACATCAAATCACCAATAAATGTCTGTTTAGTGGGGGTTTACGTTAAACTTGTATTTATAAAAATACCATCGGTTATTTTTTACCTTGTTTTTTCTTGGATAGACGTTACATTTGTATTGTTATAGTCCCTTTTGTGTTAGTGACTTTAACAAAAAAAAAAGTCACGAGTTAAAAAATAAATATCGATGATATTGACAAAGATTATCTTGAGTAAAAGAAAAACCATGCCAATGATGACTAAAATAATAGTTATGATAAACTTTAACTTAAAAGAAAATCTGCCAAATGAAATAACAATGAGATGACATCCAAACTAAATCTTACTAAATGTGTCTTAACCAAATTAGGAGTCAAAGAGATGGTCTTTGGCACATTAGAAGTTGCAAAATTTTTTGTGGTAGTAGATAAATGATTTGGTGTGTTTTAAGTTGGACACTTGTATTTTGAAGGTGACTTAATAGTCATCAGTGGCTTTTTTTTTATCAGAAAAAAAACATTGAATAAGGACAATTAGATTGTCCTAATCCATATTCAAAGAAATACATATATTCAAGAAAACAAATTCTTCTTTGTCAGCAATACAAAATTGACATTTAACTTATTGGTATTTACATTGGTTATAAATTTGATGTAGATTTCACTGATGTAATAAGTGTGTTATATTTTACATTGGTTATTAAATTGATGTAATATGTGTCACACATTAGTTATCTTAAAGAACTGATTTAGTATGTGTTCTTCCAACATCATTGGAGTACACTGAGAGTGGTTGTTACCAAGAACAAAAGTTAGAGGTGTAGTGTCACAAGTGAAGGTGTTGTTGTGACGCAGGCCCACAAAGTTTGAAGATGAGCATGTGACACTTGGTTGTTTGTGTTCATAGTTGGCGCCAACGATGTTGCACAATGTGTGGAGTGGGTTAGATAGTGGTTGGCTAATGATGGTTAGCAGAAAAAAACAACACAAAATCCAACATAACTAGATGGTGATGAATAACAATGGTAGTCGAGTAACACAACATTCCTGAATTAAGCATGAGGGGTGACAGTAACGATAGTGATTACCAGTGTGAGGGCGATGACGATGATGTCAACTATAAGTGCAAAATGTAAAAAAAGTAATGGTGTGAGCAAGAGGAGAAAAAGAAAAAGTATAAGGGTATGGATCATGGGAAAAAAGAATTACAAAGGGCATGACTAAGTGGAAAAATAAGTAATAAAAATTTTTCATGACACATTACCTTGATTGGATTGAGAATTGATGTAAAATATATATATTACATTGTTTGTGAGCACAAGCATGTAATAGCTACCTATTTAAAACACATTACATTGATTCTTAGTCCAATTAATGATATATATATACTTGTTTACTAAAATGACATTGTGTTTTCATATACAATTATTATTTTTAAATAGATGTAATTTATTGCTATAAAATATAAATTTTTCACTGGTGTAAGTCCAAAATAAACAATGTATTTACCAACTTATCAATCATCTAACTCAACCCTATATTCTATATTAGTCCTAATAACGTTGAACATAAAAGGCCCCACATTGCCAAAAAATATCAAGGTAATATACATTCAAGAGTTGGCTTAATTAAATTTCACATCTCGTAAATTTGAATATTTTAATTTGGGTTCCTATTACAAATTTTTAGATTATTGAGTGCTAAACATTTTTACATTTTCAATTTAAGTGTTTGTCTTTTGATTTTTTTTATTAACTAGGTGACAATTGTTATTTTTCATGTCATTTTGTTTACTTGTCTTAACGTACTGAAAAATGTGAGGATTTGTGATTAATATCAAATGATATTGCAGTTAGTATAAATAATAGGTGATTTTTATTGCTTTTATTGAAGACTTGTTGAATAAGAACTATTATCGTCATATACATTAATAGTTATGATGATCCCTTAGTCATGGTAGATGGTAGATGATGACATGGAAGTCAACAAGGAGTATGACCTTGTTATTTAACATATTTTCAATGAAAGTAATAAAAATTATTTGGCATTTTACATTAACACATATATTAATCACAAAACTTTGACATTTTTTAACAAACAAAAACAACTAAGCAAGGTTACATAACAAGATATCCGTCATTTCATCCGATTAATATAAAATTAAATGACAAACTTAATTTAAAATAAATAAAAAATGAATATTCAATAAAATAAAAAAATTTAATGGAATTCAATTAAAAATGTTCAAAATTTTTAGGATATTAAAATTCAATTAAGCCTCAAGATTTCTTTTATATTGAAAAAAAATTATTGAAAAAATAAAATGATAAAATACTTATGAGGGACCATCACCAATACTCATGATAAAAATAAAAAAAAAATAAAAAAACTCATACGACCTAAATACCCCTAAACATAAAGTAGTATCGATTATGAAAAAAATGCATTACATTACTAATACTAGAAGACAGCTTAGGATATCATATAAAGATTCCCTCTTGATCAATCTTAAACTAACCAATTTATCATAACAATGATTACCTTTTTAAAAAATATAAGATATAAACTTAACTTTCAAATTCAAATTATTTACCAAGCTAAACGCAACTGTGATTGCAAATATTTGATTCGATTCATTTCTTTCTATTTAAGCCCTTCACAACCAATTTTGTAGGGTTTTGGGCAAATCTCCTTTGATATATCAACTTCAACATCCATTTATTCTTGAGATTTCTCTTCCTTTATGGTAGTTTTATTAACTCAAATACGTGATTCATTTAAAAATTTTACCTATTCTGCCATGGTTTTACACCGCTTGTCTCTTCATGTTAGACGGCTTCTTCTTATGTTTTTAGCTCTCCCAAACCAACGAACAAACATATACTTTGATTCAAAAAAATTTTGTGAAGGACAATACTAAATTCATAGGTAATTTTGTAGTAATTAAAATATCCTAAAATTTATATGTAAAATCATCATTATTATTGTTCTACCTCAACTAGAAATAACACCAATTTAGAGTATAAACGTGAATTGCAAACTCTATTTTACAAACTGATGTCGTAGAATTGAATTAGACTTAAAGTCTAATTTCATTTCTATTGACACATTTCTTGCAACCATGACCCCTAAAATGGTCATGGGAGTATATATATATCTTGGGATCTCTAAGTTGTCTTCTCTAATTTGGTTTGATAATAATACTTAGACTAGAACCCATATGGATCATATCCGCCGCCATTATTTGCTTCTGCACGTTACCATTTACCTTTTACCCTTTCCTCAGTTGCATGAAAGCGTTTGAACACTTGTCTTTGGACATCAACACAAAAGCTCACACATCCTTTTTAGCATAAAGATGATTTAGTCATTCAAAATGTTAGTTTCTCCTCTATCAAAGGACCATCTTAATACACCATATCTTAACGTTGTTGAAATTGTTCTAGAAGTGGTGCTTGAGGAGGAAAGTCAATGTCACTCTTAGAAACATCTTCAAAGATAATTCTTTTCTCAACAAACTTCAAATCCTTCAGAAATCTTGCATTTTCAATATCAGAAAAGGATCTTGATGAGATTGTAAAATTTATAGCATCAAGAGCATTCAACATAATTAACAAAGTAACAAATCAGTTGTTTTTTCTTTCACATGATCTGTAAGGTCATGCCTTAGCTGAACAACCCAAATGTTAAGGTCTAATGTTAGACATATTTTCAATCCAGGGATAATAAGAAGTTTTTGTCAACTGCTTTGCTTGGTACTTTATTCAAGATGTAAAAAAGGTATATAAAGCTTATCTTCAAAATAACTATAATACTTCTTATCATAATTAAAAGAATTCAATCTTGTCGCTTTGTTGTGGGATCTCTTGTCCTTTTGTTGAATTTTTTTAATCACATATCATAAAATGGCACAAAAAGTTCCAAGACAATATACAAACAGAGAACAAAAAATTAAGAAATATAAACTGATAAACTGATCAATGTCACAGAAACATAAGGCACAGACTTAATGTAAAGAGAAAATAAAACAACGAAAACAATACTAACACATGACAAGGAATATAAACTGATAATGATGCAAAATATTGCTCCACTTGTGGAAAGAACTTCTTGGTAATAAATCCTCTAAATGATGCTGAAATGTTTGATTGCATTTCACCTCTCAATTTTAAGTTCATATGGGGATTTTCTGAAGTAGGAAGTGGATCTCTCAGTCTTATGTTCAACATCAAAATCCATATTAAGGATTAACTCGTAGCTTCTCTCCAGACCTTCAAATTCATACTAATTAGTGTTGTGATGCTATTAACTAGTAAAAATAACCATGAACTCCAGAAACATGAACCGTGTATAGGCAAGAACAATGTGAAGGATTACCTAGTTATCACTCATCCAAAAAAAAACATTTTAAGGTGGTACTTCATCTTCTTCTTGAGTCCTTTGTATAGATTTTTCAATATTATCGATACAGTTTAATTTGGCTTTGCTTGATCTTTTGAATTGTCTATGTTGTGAATCTCATTCTCGTTTGTCCTTCAAGCTTGATATAGAAGGATATAATTTTATTCTTCAAGACGCTTATATATGTTCTCTTAGGGAAACAATTCAAACAATATTTGCAGATTTGATAATTAATCACACTTAAAATACTGTTGGATTTATCAAGGAGGAACCACTCTTCTCACAAACCTTAAGATAATGAGTTAATGGATCTCTCATCTTTATATAGTGATCTATTTTCTCATTTTTATCCAATGTGAGATTTGGACTCACTTAGATTTTCAACAAACACAACCACATAGACTAATTTGTTTCTTTGTAAGCAAATCATAAAAGCATTACCGTTAAGAAAATCTTTTCAACACTTAATATTTATCTAGAAAGTATTTGATTGTTATGGCTTGTTCATAAATTAAATTTCAATTAAGAATGTATATGATCTATTAAACTGTCTATCGTGAGATTTTGACATAGGCACCAGATGGTCTGATGTTTCCTTCATTTGTCACAAAATATATTATACGATTTTAAAATAATTTAATCACATTCAAACCGACAAAACACTTAAAATGATTGTTATCGACAAAACTCACTGAGGATCTAATGGTATTAGACCGTCTAGTGAGGTTCAAAGAATTAGATTATTTGAGGTTTTACCTAGACAATTCATCTCAAAATACCTCATACCACATTAGTTACTATTGATGGAAAGATAAATTTGTATGTAGTATACTAAATGTAGTGATCGAACACTAAATCAATTCTGCCAAATGATTTTTCATGGGAGTAATTATTGTTCACGTATAAAATTTTATATTTGTATAAACTCACTATTTTATTTTAGATGACAGAATTTATTCTCAGGCGTAGCACTGAGGTTTTCCTTTCAGGACTGAGTTACAGAGTAATAGCAACTGTTAGAAGTGCTGAGTGCAAAAGTGTAGCACCATATGCTAATGATTCCACAAACATTTTCCAAAGAATTCAATACTTCAAATTCAAAACAATCTAAAAATTCACGAACCAATAAAGACCAGAATATCAATCCATTAAGACAGTTCAAGCACATCATACCAATAAAAACCACATATCCTAATGATGTAACAATGATGATGGGCTCTAATATTTGGAATATCTATTTTCTTAAAGTAAAGAATATATATGCAAACCCTAGAACTTATTTCATGCTAATTTACCAAAGATTTAAAAATCTGGCAAATATCTAGATCTATAGATATTTAAACTAGGTGACGGAAAATTCCTAAGAAAACTATTAATAAATCCTGAAAATTGTAAATTATAGAAACCTCTTCATGTCCTTAACATTTTTCAGCACTATTTTTATTTACTGTGTCATGTTATAGATATTAAGTTTTAGAATACCGAGGAGTGAATGAAACTTCCTTATACATTGCAGCATTTGAAGCAAGAAACAGCAAACTTGATGAAGAAGATTGAGCTTCTTGAAGCTTCAAAACGGTTCAATATCTTACTTGTCTATCCATTTTTACATACTGTTTGTATACACTTTTACTTTCCACTCACAAAAAAGAGAACATATGTTGCATGTATACTACTCATCCCTCAGGAAGCTCTTGGGAGAAGGATTGGGTTCATGCTCCTTGGAAGAACTGCAACAGATAGAACAACAGTTGGAAAGGAGTGTAAGCAATGTTCGTGCAAGAAAGGTTAGCTAAAACAAGCTCATGAAATTTTCAATTTTAATATTCCAATTCGATAAATATCTGAACCCCATCTTTTTTATATTCAGAATCAGGTTTACAAGGATCAAATCGAGCAACTAAAAGAAAAGGTAAGTTGCTCATATTGTTGACGTGGTTGGAGTTGAATTTGTGAATGATTCCAAATGGGGACAACTGCAATCTGCATCTGTTTGAAGTTGATTTTGATATCAACCATTTATGTTTTGTCTACATATAGATCTGAACTGCTGTAATAGACACTGTTCTTGTTGTTTTGTGTTTAAATTTAGTCTTGTACTATTCTGTGTTCATGATTGATTATCTTTGATTTGATAAGGAGAATCAAAACTGTTTTTACTTCCCATGATTTCTGCAGTTTTTAAGAAAGAAATAAAAAGAAACCTCTGGTTGGATTACAGGAAAGAGATGCTAACAAGTGTGTTTTGATTACAATACAGGAAAGAACCCTATATGCTGAAAATGCCAGGCTGTGTGAGCAGGTGAAATTACAGTACTGTTACAACTGTGTAGAATTTATCTTGGAGATTTTTGTTGAAATAACAAAGTCAAACACCATGTTATATCTAACAGTAACTTTGCAAACAGTATGGTGTCCAGCAACAGCCAGGAACAAAGGAAGTGAAAGAAAATCAACCGTATGAAGAAAGCAGTCCAAGTTCAGAAGTGGAGACTGAATTGTTCATCGGACTACCTAGGTCTACTTTAACATAATCTAATCCTTGCTTATGCAACTGTGAAATAAGGAGAAGCCCAACTGTAATCTATAATGTCACATGTTTCCTTGTACTGAGATGAATAATATTGTCGCTTGAATTTTATAATTTAATGATTAGGGTTTAGTTAACCCCTGTCTTCCTCATTTATGACCTTTATTAGTTACTCTCATGTTATGTGGAAGAAATTGGGGCATGCTAGAACTATGAAATTACCAGACAGATTATTGGACTGTCTATCTAAAATACCCTTTGTTGATAAAATTGATAATTTTTTTGAACTTTTTAAGATCTTGAATACGGTAAGAGTGACAAAATCTATATATATAATATTTATATCACAATATCAGTGTTCAAAATCTATATAAACTGATATACCTCTATTCTATATAATGTGCAATCACTAAAATATATTTTGATAACAACCAAATTGTCAAGCAACATAAATCACAAAATATGGCAGGCAACATATATCATTCTTTGTAAGCCTTTCACAACAAAGTTATGGCCACACTTTGTCAAAGTTTGAATTCTTTTGTGCTTTTCATTTTCAAAGTTTTGTTGTGTATCTTCAATCTACATTCCCAATTTTCATGGTGCTAGTTTTCTACATTAATGCTATATTTGAGTATTTCATATCTTTAAATTTTATTATCCTATTCCCATAAGAAATATCTTTAGATTTTTCCAATTTATTTTCTCATCAAATTTGACAATTTGAAGAAAGATAGAAAGGAAAGAGGAAGGTGAACCTAATCTATAATTAAATCACAGCTAAAAAAAACTAAAACTAAAGTATATTTTAAAGTAATATCACGTTATGCAATGCAATAGGTTAAATTAAAACATTTTAAAATTAATGGGTTTATATTTATTTTGAGAGATTATTAGAGAAAGATTATTTACATATATAACTTGAGTTTAACCTCACATAAATCATTTAATACTATTTTTAACCTAAAATCTTAAAACAATAAAATTATAAATATTTTATTTTATATATTGTTTAACTTTGGCCTTTTTACGTGGACTTTCATTCATATTTGGATTAATTCTACCAATAATTTATTAACAAAAGTTAATAATATTTTATTTTCTAAGAGAAATAGATAATAAAATTACATGAGGTATAATAAAAAATCAATCTTAAATCAGACAGGTGGAAGGGGTTCAAAAATTGATAAAATAAAAAATGGGTGAGGCTTGTGGTACCTGCAATTTAATAACTAACAATTACTATTTAAAATTATTCTGAATCAAATTTCACGAAGACTAATCACGTTCAACGAATAAGTAATTGTATTTTGTTTTCTTGGGACTTCTATTTACACTTTCTAGCGGTATATAGCTACATTTATATTGTGTTATATAATCAAATTAGCCTGAGATCCGTGCGTGTTAGATATATATTTAATTATTATAGTTTTATATAATAAATACATGTAATCTTAAAATAAAAGTTTAATATTTTAAAGAAAGAATTAAATAATTACACAATAATATTGTAATACATATTAAAATATTTTTTGTATGTGGATTTTTTTATATCAAAATTTACCATAATAGTGTGCATGATTATGAGTGTAAAAAGTACTTAATGTTTAGATAAATGAATAATTCCAATGAATAGTTATTGTGTTTAGAAATTAAATGTTTTCAAATATAATAGTCAACCTATGTTGAGTATAATGATCGGTATAATTATTATGATGAAAAATGTAACTATTATAACAAATATAAAATATAAAATAATGATAAATTAAATATAAATTATTGTAACAAATTTGAAATTTAAATTTAGTATGTAAAATGTATGAATTTAAACGTGATAATATTAGGACATCACATTTTTTCCAATTACCTCATATTAGAAAATATATATCCTAAAAGTTGATGCGTTATTATATATTTAATGAATTTGTAGATGTAGATGTTGTATTAGATAACACTAATATTATATAATTATGATGGATAGTAAAGTAATAAAAAAATTAATGTATTTTGTAATATAAATGAGTTCCATTAGGTTTAATTTATATTTAATTTTTTTTTAATTCAACCATATTCGAGTCCATATTGAGTTAGATTAACTCAAATTAAAAGTCATGTTAACATCTTTAGAGATCAATTGTTCTTTTGATTTGGGATTTAATATTTTTAAATGTATAATTTTAAATGTAATTGTGTAATAGTAATTTTGATAGGCAAAGTAGGAATTTTGATGCTGAAAATGACCAAAAAAGCCAAGAAAATTAAAAGGGTGTCAAACAACTAACTATGGTATTTTTTTTTTGGTGTTGTCAAAGATGAGTTAGAACTTACAGGTCAATTCGACCTATCATGGATTCGAGTTGGGTTGGATTGAGTTTAAAAAACATAAATTTTTGATATGGGTTAATTTTCAACCTGATCCAATTTTTGAACCCACGGTAAGTCAAGTTGGCTCATTAACCTACCTAATTTAATTTAATTATTTATTACTTTGTATTGTGAATGGGATAAGGAAAAAAAATGTTTCAAGAGATCAAAATATTATTGATTTATCCTTTCAAGACTATAATATTATAAATAGATAAGTAACACAAAAATGATCAATATTAGAAACTTTTTTGTTATTGCTTGCTTTGGATTACATTTAGATTATATAATATATTTTTTATATTTTGAATTGTCTTTGGAGTTTAACATCATTTTAGATTGAAATTTATTTAGATTTGAATTAACAAAAATTGTAATTTTTGTTGGATTTGAAAAACAAACTTGTAATTAAGTAAGTCAAAGAGTTAACTTGTTTAACCCACCAACCTATTATGAGTCAAACTGGATTCAAATTTTTCTAACTCGCTAATAAATGAGCCGGATTGGATTAACTCACTAAATGACCAACCTGTGATGGACCTGACCAAATTAGACTGAATTATCCATTTTGATAACACTATATATTATTTTCTTAGTATATAATTAATTAATGTATTTTTTTAATATAAGTAAGTCAGGTTTAATTCAATCCACGCTTAAAAAAATTAAAATTTATTTAATTTAATTCAAATAAAATATTTGATAAACTGAGTTGATTCATATTAAAATCCATTTTTACATATTTAGATGTAAGTATAGAATAATTGTTTTTTAATTTGGCATTTAATATTTTAAATATGTAATTTTAAATCAATTTGTTAATAGTAATTTTGATGGATAGGAATTTTGATACTGGAAATGACCAAAAGTCAGAAAAATTAACAGGTGTCAACAACTAACCATGGATATTTTGGTATTTTTCCTTGTACATTGTTTTCTATAGTTGATGATTACAAATATAGATATAAACTATATATCAAATATAAAAAGCTTTAATCATCTTATATGTCCATGTAGATTTATCTCAAATTGATCCTTTAGTTAAATTTTATCTCAATTAGGTACCTATTTGTGTAAAATTGAATCAATTGAACTCTTTCCGTTAATTTGAATTAACGACGTTATGTTTTGAGTTAAGTGGCATGCTAATATAACAAATGTTAACCACATGGTAGTGACTCGATGAAATGCTCTTTCATCCTCAGCACGTGGCAGTTCCGCTCTGGCATTGAATTTGCAGAGGAGCACCAATATCAGTCAGGCGATCCGTTCCGCTATCCTTTGCCAACCACTCTCCCTCGCCAACCACATTCCCTTCTGCTTCTTTTATCATGCACCCTTTTCCGACAACTTTATGCTTCCTACACTAAAATCGACGTCAACTATGGCACGTGGGAAGAAAATCTCCCACCGCCCTCAACGGTGGCCACCGCCCTCAACGGTGGCCACCGCCCTCAAAACTCAAACCACCATCGACCGCGTCAAAATCTTTGATGCCAACCCCGACATCCTCCGCACCTTCGCCGACACCGAAATCTCCGTAACTGTCACAATGGTGAACGCTGCCATCCCCTCTCTCTCAAGCTTCCTGCCGCGCAAGCTTGGCTCTCCCAAAACATCTCCCCCTTCCTCCCGGAAACTACCGTGACGCGTATCTCCGTCGAGAACGAGGTTGTGGAAAGCTCCGACAAAACACTAATCGACAACATTGTTCCAACTACAAAATCCCTGCACGATGCTCTCTCCCTCGCCAAGCCTCACCTTTGAAGCACACACCTGTAATATGATGGAGGAGGTTGATTCGGAAGAGAAGATGGACTCGTGTTGTACAAGTCCAACATCCTGAACATTTTCTCCGTCGTTTTCTTGCACTTAGACACGTTTTCTGGAAAGCCGAACAACGTCGTCGCGCTGAAAACATAGTCGCAGAGTCCGCGAGTTCGCGATCTTCCTCTCCGCTGAACTGAAAACGTAGTCGTAGAGCAATTTCTCGTCGCGAAATAGAGTTTGTATGGCAACCTGGATGGAGTTGAACGAGGCTCTGGGAGGAGGAATCGAGTGTGACGAGGTGATGCATAGTGGACTGCAGACTCGTAACGGCCTTAAAGTACTGTTTGACTTCCTGACGCGTGTTGCTGAAAAGAGGAATGGTTGCTACCGGACTTCTATGCCGTGGGCGAACACCGAGAGGCACACCAGACGCTCGTCTTCGATCTCCTTGGAGTGATCCTCTTTCCGGTACTTAACGCCTGCATCCTTGCTGGCGAGTTCGATCTCACGGTGGGAAGCCTCCGACGCGATGGAGGGCTTGCTAGTGGAGGGATCCCGACGACGGCAGTGCAAAGGGCAATTGAAGGCGAAGATGAAGATGAAGATGTAAATTAGCATCGGGATGGTCACAAGGGTGAGGAGTACGAGGATGAACTCGTGCGGGGAGAGATCGACGAAGCTAGAAGGTTGGCAAACGGTGGTGGTAGGGGGAAAGGAAGGACAGTGATATGGAATATGGAGCTGGGGGTGCCGTCAAAGGGATGCGGCAGCGAGAAGGGTATTTTCATTTCAATTCCACGTCAGTAAAACCCTAACTCTGTCACATGTTTTCCATTTGCATATTCAGCATGCCACATCATTGGAATGTTAACGCTGTCCTCTCCAATTGACGGAAATGGTTCAATTGATTCAATTTTGCAGAAACAGGTACCTAATTGAGTTAAAATTTAACTGAAGGACCAATTTAAGATAAATCTACATAAACAGAGACATCAAAGATGATTAAACCATATAAAAAATAA